TGTGCCAAGTACTGGCGCTAGTGAACAGCTCCCAGCTTTCCGACCCTTCAAGGCCTAACTAATCATAACACACAGCAGATGCGCGCTGCAGGCTCAGCCCGTCCACCGGACCAGAGGACCGGAAAAAATATGTCAGAAAGACTTAAACACAAACGTCGGACCTTGACAGGCAGGTCATCGATGCAAAATAGCACGCAGAGGTGCTGCGCCATCGATTAGATTTTGCTCGGACTCAGTAGTCGGAAGAAAACAAATGGTCACTTGTTTATTTATATTTTTCCATTTTCTTGCAATACCAAGGCTTGTGGTCGTGTCCGCGTTCCTTCCATAAGTTCATTGAAGTTATTTAATAAGAGGTAAGTCCAATATGTTGAGGCCTGGTCGATTTGTGGAGCTCAGGTTTCAAAGCAAACATGGTGAAGTGGCATTTAGCTGTTACGCTGCACCTCAAAGGCTTCCACCGAAAGTCAAGTCAACAATGAGCTTAAATGCTTTTAAATCCAGGTTGAATATCAGCCGACCTATGGCTGGATCCTCCTGATCATCGAGTGCCGTACCCTGATTGGCTGAAAGCAGTATCGGGTTGACGTCAGAGCAATCTGACCGGACAATCATGCAGGACAAAAGAGAAAATTACTGCGATTACAGAACTCACAAGAAACACATTTTCCAAGTGAGAAATTCTGGCAGAGATCAGATTTTCCTTTTCCAAGCTTCTTACGCAGCGATGACTAACGCAAAGTCTGAAACCCACCTGAATTGTGCCAAGAATCAAAACGATTTCAGCCTATTACGATGTGAGTCACCTCGCATTGTCTCTTGCTTTCGTGTTACGATCAATCATGCTCAGATGCTCAGAATGACTGTGACGACGACGTAGATATTGCGAACAGGCAGACACAAAGACGGATCCATATTAGAAGATAGTCGACAGACTTTTCAAGGTCCCACCACAGTCCGAAGTGTGCCTGTTTCCTCTAACTTTTTTTCAATCTCTGCCCGTATCTTCCTGCTCGAGAGCCATTGGTATTCCACAGCCGGCGCTTGTTTCCTCCTGGCTGCCACGATCATTTCAAGAGGTCACGGATCTGAATTTTACTCCTCTGAGACGTGCTGCTTCACCTCTATTCATTCTTGCGTGTTTGTGGTTGGTGTGTTTCGTTCGCCCCATGAGTGGTTTAATTACCTGCGCCAAGGAGGTTATGTTTTCATTACCACCGTTTTATTCCATTTTGTTTGTTCGGTTTGAAGTCCTGTCCCGTAACCTGAAGTCCTGCATACTTGGAATGGGTCTAATGTTAAAATGGTTGATTAACTGGTTGTTAAAGGAATCTATTGATTGTTTGGAATTCATCGTTCCTTCGTGTGTCTTGAAGTAAATGCGGCGCAAGGGAAATCACGGTCTGGTTTGTCGAAAAACAGTATCTGACTGCGTGTGAATTTGAGTGTGATTGTTTGAATCACGCTGAAGTGGGAACGCTTGAATCCAAGCCTTTCAGCGCATCCAGCAATTGCATCGAGACCTCTCAAAGAAGCGGTCTCAGTGCACTTAAAGTGAATTTCAGCGGTAAGAACTGTTTCAAAAGCAGCAGGAAGCATAGGGAAATCAAATATGGAGCAGGAAAAGATTGTCCTCGGCACCACAATGGCATATTTATTCAGCATGTCTCTTACTCACTTGGTTGTGACTTGATGCATCCACTTTTTTTTTAAGTTCTATGAAATGCCCATAAGGAATTGAAGCGCACAATGCCCAAATAAGTGATTCAAAAAGTGCGTTGGTCCTAATTAGATTTGCAAACTACACTAGTGAAAACCGCGAGGGTTTCACTTGTTGAAGTGTGATAAGTAAGCTATTATTTGGGGAGGGAATAACTAATGAGGTAAAAAAATGAGTGAACATTTCCACCGCTTTGTTAAAAACTGCTGAGTATGACCACAAAGCGATTTTTATTCATATAGTGTCGCCGATGCGCTCTGTTAGGATGACAATAAAGCATCTGTGTCTCCCTGTTGTTTATTTCGAGGCATCTTAAATGAGAAGCTTTTTATATTTGAGGCTTTTGAGAGAATTTGAAAATGACAAAAAAAAACACAAAATGGAACATAATGGACCAAAAACATAACGGTTTTCCCTCAAAATGGTGTTTGGACATTTTCCATTCATACAATCGTGCCGATTGTCTATAAATCATTGATGCTCCATAAAAAGTTTTTGTTTTTTTTTTCCGTTCCACACAAATATGTATCTTTCCAAAATAATTACTTCTCCACCAAGGACCAATTTCAATCTCTAGTCAATGAAGAATGTCAATTATGGGATAAATTGTCTTTTTATAGTCAATTTCATTTTATTTTATAGAATAGAAATGCTCCTTGAATGTACTTTTGGAACAGTTTGGCTGCTATTTGAGGCAAGACAGCGTGCATAAACTAACACGGATACGTCACATACTGCGGATGTAGATGGCTGACAAGAGACACATAGACGAGAGAACATTGGGTACGCTGGAACAATCTGAGAGCAAATGCAAGACCGATTTGAGAAGATTCTGCTTTTTACAGAGACAATTATAGGGTCAGTTACAAATATAAACAATTACAGTATGTGTATATATTATTGCCTGTTGATTGTGAGGCAAATATGCCTCTCCCAGCCCCATAGTTCTGCCCAACATATTCATTCGCTTCTTTCAGGAACTCCAAAGTCTGCATGTCAAAAGTGTTTTGCAACTATTTTTTTTTTGCAGGTATTTACCACACTCGCGAGCATTTGAAGGGCATGATACCTGAATTGACATCAGACTTGTTCAATCCATCAAGCCCGCTCAAATGTCCCAAGCGTACCACATCCATTTACTCTGAGACCATCCATCCATCCATTTGCCAATCCGCTTTATCCTCACAAGGGTCACGGGGGGTGCTGGAGCCTATCCCAGCTGTCTTCGGGCAGTAGGTGGGGGACACCCTGAACTGGTTGCCAGCCAATCGCAGGGCACACAGAGACAAACAACCATCCACGCTCACGCTCACACCTAGGGACAATTTAGAGTGTTCAAACAGCCTGCCATGCATGTCTTTGGAATGTGGGAGGAAACTGGAGTACCAGGAGAAAACCCACGCAGGCCCGGGGAGAACATGCTAACTCCACACAGGGAGTCCGGAGCTGGAATTGAACCCGGTACCTCTGCACTATGAGGTCGACGCCCTAACCACACTGGGCCACACTCTGAGACCCTGAGTAACCAAAATCCATAATTGAAGTGCGTTCACCACCACTGCACCAGACATACTATTTTCTCCTGTACTATCAATCAGGGCTTTGGGAATAGAAATGCAGACATTATTGTGTTATGTAAATCATTTTGCAATGAATACATTCCATTTAGAGAAACATAAATATGCCACCGGATATTAACATGTGCAAATTTATTTATTCAATTTTGTGTCATGCGAATAAATAAAATATATCTTTTTTATTTCATCATCCATCAAGGATGGGGCAGAGCGTGGCTCGGCCACATGCAAAAACACAAAAAAAAAAACCTTTTACCACGCAGGTGTCTGTGGTTGGGGAATTCAGTTGGAAAACTCAGAGATGGGTTCTTATTGCTGGATGGACTTCATTTATAGAAGCAATTGTGATTTTGTTGGGTAACTGTTATAATTAATTCATAAAAAAAAAGCATAATTGCGGTTGCTATTGAGCTGCACTAAGCTGCTTATTAAAACTCAGCCAGTGTTTATGCATGTATGTGTGGGCAGTGTGGATGGCCTGCTGCTCTGGGTCATGTAGACTCACAACATGTGGAACAATATTATTAGAGCCAGCATTTATTTTGCCTCTACAAACTAATAATGCTCAATTTTGATTGACAGTGTCAAACGGTTTCCATTTTATGACTGTGATTGTACTTTACAAGTGTATAATGCTTCACATGGTCGTGAAAGTTCACATGATTGAAATCTGGCCACTGTTGTGTAGTTAAATCGGAGGATCCAAATATTTATTTCAGCCTCAATAAAAGTATGACAGAAAGCCTTTAGCGTCGCGCAGTCGTCTACTTACAACAAGCACAGCATCTCGCTAATGAAAAACCTCAATATAACTGAATGTTACCTTGCACCATCCTTTGCACCGTCTTTGATACAGCGCATGAGATGGATCATATTTATCCTTACCTGTTTTCGTGCAGGGTGACTGTATGTTTGTAAAAAATAAAGAATGGGAAGGATGAAATGGCAAAGGGGGACTAATTTAATCAGTAAACAAATGGAGCTCTTTCAATACATAGGATTGACATACGTGTGTGTGTGTGTGTGTGTGTGTGTGTGTGTGTGTGTGTGAGCAGACATGGAAATTCATATCCAACAGCATGCATGGGCACACAAAAAAATTGATATATTTTTTATTCCCAAACTCAGCACTGCGTTTTCACCACCTTTCCCCACAGAGTAAAATGAAGATTGATTGAAAGCTGCAGAAGGCGAGGGAAGTGTGGGTTTGTGGCTCCTGAGCTGTACCTTCTGTGCAGTAAAATGGAGGAGGCGTGTGGGATGAGATTGGAGAAGCTGTTTGAGGGGGGTGGGGGGGTGCAGCAGAAGTTAGAGGAATGACTCAAATCCACCACAGCTTGCAATGCTGTCGTAAAGTGTTCCCTGTTGTTTTTCCATTTGAAAAAGCTCATTTTTTTTAACATCCTCTTGTGATTAATTCCACATTAGTACGCTGCGCAATTACACCCCAACGCTTGACTCGGTTTTTTTACACGTCACAATGTGACAATATGTCACCTCCTCGATGGAAAAAAAAATGTGTTTGGTTCAGGAATGAACCCGTATTACTGATTTTCTGACGCATTTTGGAGCGCAAGCTGGAATTGTTTTGGTTAGAACAGGGGCACACTCACAGATGATTAGGGGGCCACGGTGTTATCGAGAAGAGCACGAAATGCACCTCACTACATTTGGTACACGTTTTCTTGCCCTCACTTACTCACCCATGTTGTCTCATCCGCGCGTCGGCTCCGTTGTTGGTTCACAGTCGTGCAATCCTTCAGCACCGATCACGACTTCCCCCTTGCGTCGCGTGTCCAATCCAAACAACACAAAATCGGCGGAACCCCTCAAGCGAGCGGTGACTCGCCTTCTATAATTTCTACAAAAAAAAGAATTTCAAGGAAAGTCTTCCGGTGATTCAAGCGTTCAAAGTTTGTTCCAAATGCGCACTGACGCCGCGTAACTTGCTACGCACATGAGAAAATGTGTCCTCAAAGCCCAAGTTGCGAATGGCTCTTCGGATTTGAAGCATGATTTTTAGAACTCGCACAAAAATTCAGCACGTTTCAAAAGTGTCAAAAGGCGAAAGAAAGCCACACAGTTGTGGCGCAGAGATGGGCGCAGCCTCTTTCCCGAGCAGGTGCTCCATGCGAGCGCTCGTCAGCTTGTGCTGGATTTGCAGAGGCGCGTGCTCAGCCTACACTGGTACGTGTGCGCGCACGAATGCGTGGTTTACGCGTGCGCGAGGCAGAACGCCAGCCAGTGAACGTGAAAGTACTCGGTTCGTTGTTGAACAGCTGCGGGCGCTTATGGTCAAATATGAGATGTGTTGTTTGTTCAATAATCAATTGGCTCCCGAAACTCAGTCGTGGTTGTGCTGGAGGGGGGCATGCTGCAGGATTGTAATTATTACGGTTCGGGTGGGTACAAGCTTGATCCAGTCTCGCGTTGCATAATTATTACAGCTGAGTGCTAAATTGAGTGATTTGTAAGAACAAACAAACGTCTTCGAACACATTAATATAATGTCGTGAAACGTTTAGTCTTTGTGACGAGGTTTGGGTTTTTTTCACCAATTCACCACTGACTCATAGCCGACCTGACATTTCATTTGGTATTGCTTCAGAAAATGTTGATAGAACTGTGAATTTTAACATGAAGCGTCAAACCACCTATTTGGAAAAGTGGAAGAATACTTTTTGAAGTCAAAGATGACTCACAAAGTCAGGGCAAATGGAAAGCGATGACAAAAATGCTATCGTTGCTTCCCGCAGCAATTTCAATGCCTGAAAACATTCAGAAAATAATGATTCATATGTGAGCTGGATCCTGTCCAAGCTAACTTCATACAGGGGTACACATTTAAACAAACAAAATGAGCTGTCCAGCAAATTGTTGTGTACTCCTTATGTAATAATATGAAGAGGTGATTAAACATTTACAGAATATGGTCTCACAATAGCAACGGCGCTCTGAGGTAAACTGGAACTACAACGTAGCCTTCGACAAAATGAGTTTGACACCCCTGATAACGAGTCATCATTAAACCTAACATGCGTGTTTTGGTAATGAAAGCTCAATCATCTGGCTAAAACGGAGCACGAGACATTTTGGTGGCCTCAGTATTGCATTTCTTCTTTTTGCAGATGATGTGGTACTGTTGGCTCCTTCAAGCAGGGCTCTCCAACTCTCATTGGAGCGTTTCGCAGCCAAGTGTGAAGCGGTTGGGATGAAAATCAGCACCTCCAAATCTGAAACAATGGTCCTCCAGGTCAGGGAGGAGATCTTGCCCCAAGTGGAGGAGTTAAAGGATCTTGGGGTCTTGTTCACGAGTGAGGGCAGGAGGGAGCGAGAGACTGACAGGCAGATCGCTGCAGCGTCTGCTGTGATGCGGACTTTGTATCGGTCTGTCGTGGTAAAGAAGGAGCTGAGAAGGTCGAGCTGCTTCTCCTCCACATCGAAGACAAAGGGCGAAGCTCTCAATTTACCAATCGATCTACGTTACAACCCTCAGCTATGTGTCGTGACCGAAAGAACGAGATCGCGGATGTCAGGGCTCTCCCTTAGAGATAAGGTGAGAAGGTGAGAAGCTCAGTCATCCGGGGGGGGCTCAGAGTCGAGCTGCTTCTCCTCCACATCGAGGGGAGCGAGATGAGGTGGCTCGGGTATCTGATTAGGATGCCTCCTGAACGCCTCCATGGTGAGGTGTTCCGGGCATGTCTCACCGGCAGGAGGCCCCGGGGACACGACCCAGGACATGCTGGAGAGACGATGTCACCCAGCTGGCCTGGGAACGCCTCAGGATCCCCCGGGAAGAGCGAGAAGTGGCTGGGAAAGGGAAGTCTGGGCTTCCCTGCTAAAGCTACGCGAGAGGGTATCTTGGCTTCCCTTCTAAAGCTGCTGACCCTGCGACCCGACCCCGGATAAGCGGTAGAAAATGGATGAATGGATGGATGGATGGATGGTGAAGATGGCTGACAGATAAATAGTGTAAAAATAGCAAATCGATACTGAGCAACAAAGGGCCCGGTAATGATCCCTGTGCCCCTTCACAGATGACATCACAAAACTTTGACGCCACATTGCCATGAATTATTCCCGATGTCTTTCCTGAGAGGTAGCCGTTCATACTGATACTTGTTTAAATGGGTTCTACCAATATATTCTATATCACAGACATTATTATGGGCTGTGCTGAGTTCAAATAATGATACTATTGATTATTTGATCCACGGGGCAATGCTAGCTGAGAATGTATTTTTCAAACACAAAAATGCCACCATGCTCATAAACCAGATTATATCCACACTCAATCAAAATAATACTCCGGCCTTCGTGCTTTCAGACCAAGGTGTCATAGTTCTAAATTGACAACCAGCCCGGAGGAAAAAACACGCTGTAAAACCATATTTCCCATCAACAAAAGCGGTGTTGGTGTGTGGGTTTTTTTTTTTTTTTTGGTATCCTTGTTTTCTGTAACAAAAACGACGAGTTCTTTTAAAACTGCTTCTATGAAATACCCAGTTGTTATGTTTATGATTTTCCTCCTAATCTTCTGTAAACCAAGCTTTCTGTATAACTGCGGCCCTGATATCCCCAGAAGACACTAATTTGTCCCGTCATATTTTCACAGGCCACCAGTGTATCACTTGGAACCTTGTCGTGACAGATTTGTAAAATGACATCTCATTCGATTCCCACATTGTCATCATATTACCGGTACACCTTTTAAACTTAGTGTTCCCGGAAACTGTAAGATAGCACACGATTGTTACGCTTGTATGTGCCTTCTTCCTTCTACATCGTCACCATTGGTTTAGTGGTTTACTCACGTAACGACAGTGCAGGCAGTGCCTTTTCAGTTCACGCTCAATAAATGGTTGTCTATTTCAAGGGATGCCCTGCGATTGACTGTCAACCGACCAATTGAGGGTATACTGCCGTCTTTGTTTGAGATTATATAGCACATACGAGAGGTGAAATAAATCCTGTCAGTCAGTGCGTTGAAAGTAAAATATCAAGTCGAACAACCCAACAGATGAGCAATAGGAACATGCTTGAATGCATCAAAATAACAAATCGCTGTTTGGTGTCCAATGTGTGCCGTTCTCGTTTTCGAACAGGACATTTTAGAAGCTTTACATGAGATCAACAAGATGGCCAGTACAACACGAGTGAAGAGATCCGGAGCAGTAATAAGTTGATTGTCATCGCTGTGGGCCAAAAAAAAAAAATCTTTCTGGGTCAAAGCTCCTTTGGATGTCAGTTCAGTTCAGTTTGTCTGAGACAGTCACATCACTAACATCAGCATGTTCCCTTTTGGACGGATCTCACCTAACGAACCATCTGTGGTCCCAATTTATTTATTGGTCGGAAGAGCCTCAGTCCTAAGCTGGACAGCAACACTTTGGGGGGCTATGAACAGTTCTCGATCGGAATCTTTAGATAGCATGTGGTGTAGTGTGGCTAAATGTGGAAAAGGATACTTGATACTTTTATTGAGAAGAGCCCCAAAATATCAGTTGGAGCACAGCCCGATGGAGGTTTGACATTGTTCTTGTAACTCAAGGCTCGGTTCGTCCAAGGTTTGCGCATGTTTAACCTGGTTTGAACATGATTGCTTGATAAAAGACACGTGAAAACTCTCATACGAACTGGGCGCACGCAGGATTGCATCTGCCAAATGCGCGAGATAGCCATGAAATTCATTATGCACGTTCAGGGAGGAAAATATGCCAATCGATACATTTTGCACGCGCAAGGTGATTTATCAATTGCGATGGCTGATGTTGCTTGTTAAAGCACTGGCAGGTGGGACGCAGCGTGTACTGGAGCGTATCGGGGATACTTGCAGCTGGGCACAAGAAGGACCCCTATCCCAAGTTTCGAACGCTAGTTCCAAAGGATGGGCAGACACAGCCCATTGCCACATACTCAGGAGAGTTAAATCAAAGAAAAGATGCCTTTTGCGCACATGCTGACTCCCACAAAATGATCCGCGTGACGGATTTCTTCTCCCAGACGCAGTAATACGTTTGTTTGGCTCCTCCAGTAACACTTGCAATTCCATCACTTTAATTTTCATTTTGAGCTCTCACAACTTCTCCCTCTGGGAAAACCATCAGAGCCACCTAAAGCTCAAAAACCTCTCTTTCAAAAATAGCGGCCTCGACCACTTTTACATGTCTACGACAACATCTGCAATTTGTTAGAGTGATTGGACATGCAATTTAGTGCCCGCAATTTGGGTTCGGAGCAAAATCCTGCCCTGAGATTACAGTCATGGTCAAGACATAAATAACCAGGGTCAGGCCGTCCGTGTGTGTAACCAAACTACCGCAGGCTGGTAAAGAGGGTCGAACTGTATAAAATTGCAGTGGCCAGCAATCCATTCTTCACGGATGTGCAGCTCATGCGTCACAACATTCATCACTGATACGCATATCAATACAACTGGCTATGATACGATACATTTCAATTTGTAATACTCATCGATTTTCTTGTAGGAGACACGGTGGGTGAGAGATGGTTTTTTGCCACTGCTCTGTTTTCAATTGCGGGAGGATGGATGAAGGTAAAAATACGAGCACTTTAGCTGCCAGAAAAAAAAAAAAAAGGAAACATATATGAACGGTGAGTGGCTCAAATGAGCATTGCCGGGTGTCACTTTGCACCCGATCAAGTGGCTCCATCAGCAAAATCTGCTCTTTGCACTGATCGCAGCCAAGTGCAATCCCATACGGGTGCGCTCAAATACGGCTTTGTTGGCAAAAATGTGAAATTTCACAGCGCTTTTGAAGCTACCGCAGGTACCACAATGATGTGTGTGGTGCCATTTTGTTTGGCGACAGGAGGATTTCTTTGTTTTTTTATT